TGGACAAAACCATTACATTAGAGAATAAGCTGAAATCTGCCAACAGTGAATTTGTGAAAGATAGGCATAAGACCAAAAATGGTGCTATTGTTAGCAATGAACATGATGCTGATTGTCCAGATCATTCTGGTAGTGATAATATCGTCAAAGCTGAGGAAGATTTCCATATTAATAGTTCCTCCATGTCAAATATCAAGGGAGTACACAACGACAGTACCACAGCAAAAGCTGATAAAGATACTGTCTTAGTGGACTCAGTCCAATTCTGGCAAGGAAAGGAAAAGCGCTGCAGAAAGACCCCATCAGGTTCATGTGGACGTGTCACTATCAGAATCTCCTTCAGACGTTCTAGAATGATGAACGGTAAAGAGTGCCACCTCTGGTGATAACCATGTGTATGCACAATAGAAGTTAGGAGCCCAAGGGCCATGAACAGATTCTATTGTGGAAAGAGGGCTTCAATTATAGAGGTCTCTATTTTTTGTTCCATTTCCAATGATTTTTGTATATACTGTTTGGTTACATTTGGACGTTTGCTCAGTAAATTTTGAAGGTCTGATGTGATGCACTAAACAGGCCAAGCGAAAGAGAATTGTGGAGTTATCTCTTCGCTCGTTACCAACACAGAACCACAGAAAGTCACATTGGGGTTTTTTTGTGTTATTGAGGAGGAAGGCATGGCTGGCAAATGATTTTGCTCAGGTTTTATTTTTTTGTTCTTACTGGTGATGCTGTGCTCTCTCAAACTTTCTGCGGAAATCTTTTACTTTTAGAATCAAGCAAAATAATAATTGCCATTAGAATTATTTATGCAATGCGTAAATGTTAATTTTTCTCCTAAAATATTCATCTGTAGGAGCGTTCTCTGGAAGACAGCTGCTGCTGCACAATTGGGCCATCAGGCAGCTTTTACTTGTATGTCAAGATTTGAAAAACTAAACAAACAATTAGAGGAAAAGTTTTGTCTCACAAGATAGCAAAGGCTGTCATGCCAGTTTTGGCATTCAGCCGAGCTTTCTTCTAGACAATGATCTTGACAGTGACTGCATTTTGGGTTGTGTTAAATCTAAAATTGTTGATGCAAATGAAGATATCAGAGAGCAGAGAAGAAATTTCAATGTGCTGCCGCTGGTTATTTTCTCCGTCCTTCTCATTCTGTCTACAAAAGAAACAGTGCTATTTGAATTTGGTCTTTGTATTGCTAGATTTTTGCTGTTGTATGAATTTTCTTTTTCTAATTTATTGAGCGAGTTGCTTTTAGGAAATCATTAAGTATGGAGTTAAATGTTTCTACTTTAGTCTACACAATTGAATGATTGAAACCATGAATTGCATTTCCATACAGACTGTGTAAGAATATAAAGTTGTTGCAGTGTTTGGTGATTGAGAAGATAAGAGATAAGTAAATAGAAAGAGAAAGTTCTAGAGATTGAGGGAAACTAACAGTGACAAAAGTGATTAAGTTATGGATCTTGGAGGTGCTCTATATATATTGCTTGCAGTCTATATAATCACTGACAGACAGTCTTCAAGTAATTGTCAGTTACAACAGATGCAACGTAGCTGACTAATTTACTAACTACTATAAGCAAGCTACTGTATGATATAGAAAATAGTGAACTATGCTTAGACTTATGCTTTGAACAACTTGACAGGGCTGGTTAAGGGTGCTAAAATTCCCAATGAAGCCTTTGTTGTAAACTGGTTGTATGGATTGGTTGAAGGTTGATGATAAACTGAAACAAATGGTAGTGTACTAAAGATGTTTTAGTATCTGACTTGTCTGTTTGCTTTTGCTTTCTCTATTGATGTTTTTTCCTCTTGATTTAATTACTCATTTAATATTGCTGTTGGTTGCCATTGGAGTTTGCTAGAAGACTACATACTATCATTTCTATCAGTGCTGTTTTATTTCTTATTACTATTATTACTATTACTGGATAAGAGCTTTTGAATGTAATAAGGATTGATAGTACAATAGTAGCATCTGATACATTATTGATACATTTTTAAACCTAAAAATAAATAAAGAGCAGTGCTATGATAGGAACTTGAGTATTATGGGGTGTCTAAGTCCCCCACGTTGAGTAGTATGATATGCTCACTGGAGTATTTAATTGCTTTGTTCTCCCCCTTAATATCTAGCTTTGTGGGTCTCTCGAGTGCTTGGATACCTTTAAGTTGGTATCAATGCTACTTGTATGATAGGAGACTAGTGGTTAAGAGAGTGCATGTGAGGGCTAATGGAGGGGAAACACATTTGTAAGTAAATAGGCGCATGAATAAGAGGGTAAGGGGTGGTAGTTGGGGGTTAAGAGTTGATACAGAAATTGTAAGGAGTGGAGGAGAGCTTTCTCGACTGCCTCATTGTATGACTTGGTCAGATAGATCACTAGACATTTAGTAAAATACAGGCTGATTGCCTTGTTCTTTTTTCAAAATCTTCCATTCAATTAATTGAATCCTATCTACTGGTAATTGAGCATAATGATCCAATGATGTCTATGATGATTTGCAAGGGAATGAATGCAAGAATTGAAGCTCTAAAGAGAGAATTTCGCTTAGTGAAGGATTGGATACAAGTATCACTACAACATATGGAAGATGATCCATAAATTTGGTCAAATGAGGGGTAACCAAGAAGGAAATTCCAATCTTGGGTGAATTGAAATTGAAAATTTAAAATGGGAGGAGGTATGTACGGGAAAAATAAAAACCAAGGAGGCAACAATTTATTCAATCACAAAGCCAGGGAATTTGGCAAATGTGTAAAATTTTAGGAAGTTGGAACTTCCCATTTTTTAAGGAGATGACGTGTTGGGTTGGATAGGGGAAACTCAAAGGTATTTGGTTTGAGGGAACTTGATGAAGAAGAAAGATGGAAGCAGTCTTGGTAGCCATGGAGGGAAAGGCACTTTCTTGGTTATAGTGTGGGATTCTTTCAGGAGAATATCAGTTGGGGGAAGTTAAAAGATGCAATCTTGAGAAGATTTCAGCTCACAATGTGTATAACTCGTTTGAAATTGTACTTAGACTGAAGCTAGAGGACACAATCAAGAAGTATAGAAAGCAATTTGAGATTTTAGTGGGCCCATTATAGACAATCCAGCTAGATAAGTTGTGTGGAAATTTTTCTAATGGCCATCGTCATTGAAGTTGATGATGGGCATCACCCTTTTGATTGACTAAGGGAATGGGATCAATGAAAAGAAGGATTGGCACTCCCAAACCAGAACCCAATTCCAGAATCGAGGAGGAGGAAGTCTGAAAATGAGTCAGCAAGGAGAAGGTCATACTATCTTGGAGTCCTATGGAACTGGTGGTGTTGTCAGGTTTCAATCATCTAAAGGAAGGAACAAGGATGGAAGCCAAAGCAAAGCGAACATAGAAGAGAAAGGTACAATTTTCAATGTCTTGAGGGTACTAGATGAGGAATATCATGAAAAGATGAGAAGAGGTCTTTGCAGGATTGGTTCTTGTTGATAGTGGGGCAACTCAATATCATATTCACAAAATTGGTAGAAAGATTACGGTTACCAGTACCACATACAGTACCCTACATGTCAGAAAAGCTGTTTCTGATATTCATAGAAGAGCAATTGCTCTTAAATAGAATACAAAGACTTAATAACTGAAAATCCTAATTTATGATGGATATAATTTCTTCTTACAATTCAGGATCAATGATACTGTAAAATAAATAAAAAAATATGCTGTTAGCCTATTAATCCTCCTAATTATCGAATGTAATTAAATCTTCTAATGATGTAATTAAAACTGTACAAGTCAATATTAAATGCAACATAAATCATGGGATTTTGACACTACACTGTAAAGGTGGGAGGAGGGGAGAGAATTAAGACTTGTGATATGATATGAAAACTAATTTCAGAGGTTTGACACAATTTAAAAGGATGGAGTTAGGTACACTTTGAAAGGGGATCCAACCCTTTGCAAGGTGGAGGTGTCAGCAAAACTATATCAAGGAGTGACAAGAGAGGGAAGAAGGCATTACAGTGGAGTGTGACTCACAAACTAGCAGAGGGGAATGGGTTTCCAATAACTGTCAGGGATGTATTAAAATAATTTATGGTTGTCTTCCAAGAAAAACAAGGGCTTCTCCCTAAATGGGCTCATGACCATGCTATATCTTTGAAAGAAGGGGCAACAATCCCCAATCTCAGGCCATATAGGTATCATCATTTCAAAAATATGAAATTGAGAAGCTAGTTATTGATATGTTGAAAAGTGGTATCAAAAGGCCTAGTGACAACCCTTATTCCAGCCCAATTATACTAGTAAAGAAAAAAGATGACAATTTCGGTTTTTATAAACGGGATAGTGATTCCTAACAAGTTTGCTATTCCACTAATTGATGATTGTTGGATGAGTTGACGGGTGCAATAACTTTTTCCAAGTTGGATAGTAAATCAGGCTATCAGAATGAATAAGGAAGATATACTGAAAACAACTTTACTATGCATGAGGGTCACTAGGAGTATTTGGAAATTTGTGTAAGTATTTTCTTGATGATATACTAATATACTGCAAAGATGAGGAAAGTAATGTGACAACAAACAAAGGTTTTTCAATTATTGCAGTAACATGAAGTTGTTGTCAATAACAAGAAATGTGATTTTTGGGATATCAAAAGTAGAATATTTGGGCACATAATTTCTGCACAGGGGGTATTGGGCTGATTCAAAGAAATTGGAGGCAATGGTAAATTGGCCAAATCGAAAGGAAGTAAAAGGGTGAGGATTTTTGGGAATTACAGCCTACTATAAGCATTTTGTAGAAGGGTATGGAGTGATTGCGATACCTCTTACAGAACTACTCAAGAAAGATGGCTTTAGTTGGTGTGATAAGGCTGGAAATTCTTTCAATCTCAAAAGAAACATGACTTCTTTGCCAGTTTTGGCTTTTCCAGATTATTTCAAGCCTGTTTATGGTTGAAACAGGGTGCATCAAGTAAGGGAGTGGGGGAGGTGTTGTTACAATTTATTTTGCTTGATGAGATAAGGTAGCATAATATTTAATGTAAACCTAAGATAAAAATTGTAAATTTGACAATGCATTTTATCAACGTTGATGTGATCAGGAAGCACTAGAGGTTTAAATCAAGAACTATTACATTGTTCTTTTTATTGGGGGAAATTTTGGAATGCTTAATTGATTTTTCTTAACTGTTTGTAACATCTACATCTATTTATTTTGAGCTATTTATTATTGATGCTTTCATGTTGGTGGTTTTCCTCAGGAAACAACCACACTTTTGGAGGGACAAAATCCTGTCAAACGTCCTGCACTTAAAGTGGATGCATATGCTTTGAGATTTATAAAGGCTAATAGGTCTCATGGAATTTCTTCTCAAGCAGAGGCACCAACAACTCCTGAAAAGATTTTTGACTCAAGCACTGTTGATATGTCATGGGATGAGCATCTTAATGAAGTATAATACAAGTTTCTTTATAGTTCTTGTTAAATATATTTATTTGATGCTAGGCTTGCAACTTGGTATGCGTGCCTTTTTTTCCATGTGTTCATTTGTCCCAACATACTTAAGAAGTCAACTTTAAACTAATTCAATCTTATAAAACACTCATAATCTTCTATTTATAAGAATAAATTGATACAAAAGTACATGATAAATAAGGTAACCCTAGATACAATATAATCATGATAAATATAATCATGATAAATAGGGTTACCCTAGACACAATATAATCATGATAAATAGGATAATCCTTGACACAATATAATGATGATAAATAGGGTAACCCTTGACACAATATAATGATGATGAAATAGGATAATCCTAACACTCCCCCCTCAAGTTGGAGCATACAAATTGTATGTAACAAGCTTGGAACAAATAAACTCAATCCGAGGTCTCTTTAGGAACTTAGAAACTTCGACTTAGAACAAGATGCACGTATACTTCAGACCATCCAAAGAGAATGTCTATAAACCAAATTGGACTCACAATCCAGCATAGCCAAAGAGACTCCTCATAAGCTTATGGAGAATAATATTGGACAACCATGAAACTTCATCTAGCAACATGAACCTTCAAGTAGGATGACTTTGACAAAGTTGATTTCCATCAAAAGTGAATGAAGAGAGGTAAACAACGACAAACTACAAAAAATAGATTGCCATCAAGTAAGGATGGGGCCTGCATGGCTAAAAGCGACAAAAATGCAGGGACGACTATCTCTAACTAGTTGGAGGTTGCAGTGGCTGAAAGCGACAAAACTGCAGGGAGTGCCATCTCTGACTAATTGGGGCCTGCAGTGGCTGAAAGCAGGGACTGTCATCTCTGACTAGTTGGGGCCTCTGACTAGTGGCTAGAAACATACTCCCCCTCACTGCAGGGACTAAATTGCTATTACTGACTGATGGGGCCTGCAAGGACTAAATTGCCATCACTAACTGATGGAGCCTGCAGGAACTAAATTGCCATCACTGACTGATGGGGCATGTAGTGGCTGGAAACATACTCCCCCTCATTGCAGGGACTAAATTGCCATTACTGACAGATGGGGTCTGTAGGGACTAAATTGCCATCACTGACTGATGGAGCTTGTAGNATGCACGTATACTTCAGACCATCCAAAGAGAATGTCTATAAACCAAATTGGACTCACAATCCAGCATAGCCAAAGAGACTCCTCATAAGCTTTTGGAGAATAATATTGGACAACCATGAAACTTCATCTAGCAACATGAACCTTCAAGTAGGATGACTTTGACAAAGTTGATTTCCATCAAAAGTGAATGAAGAGAGGTAAACAACGACAAACTACAAAAAATAGATTGCCATCAAGTAAGGATGGGGCCTGCATGGCTAAAAGCGACAAAAATGCAGGGACGACTATCTCTAACTAGTTGGAGGTTGCAGTGGCTGAAAGCGACAAAACTGCAGGGAGTGCCATCTCTGACTAATTGGGGCCTGCAGTGGCTGAAAGCAGGGACTGTCATCTCTGACTAGTTGGGGCCTCTGACTAGTGGCTAGAAACATACTCCCCCTCACTGCAGGGACTAAATTGCTATTACTGACTGATGGGGCCTGCAAGGACTAAATTGCCATCACTAACTGATGGAGCCTGCAGGAACTAAATTGCCATCACTGACTGATGGGGCATGTAGTGGCTGGAAACATACTCCCCCTCATTGCAGGGACTAAATTGCCATTACTGACAGATGGGGTCTGTAGGGACTAAATTGCCATCACTGACTGATGGAGCTTGTAGGGACTAAATTGCCATCACTGACTGATGGGGCCAGTAGTGATTGGAAGCGACAAAACTACAAGCACTGCCATCACTGACTGACAAGGTGATGGGGGCCTGCAGTGGCTGAAAGGACAAAACTGCAGGGACTGCCATCACTGACTGATGGGGCATGCAGTGGCTGGAAACATATTGCAGTGGTTGGAAACATACTCCCCCTCACGACAAATGACGAAAATGACGATGTCGCCGATGACAAATCGGGAAGGTGGAAGATCATAATGGTCTCCTTTATTCATCAAAGCATCCAAAAACATACTTGACAAGGGACTGGTGAAATTGTTTGACTAAGATTCTGAATCTTGCCAGAAATAAACTCCCCTCATGCCATGAGGAACCTTCAACCTATGACTTTGGTGTTGAAATTCCTTGGTGTTAACCAACTAATAGCACTGACTTTCCTTGGAGACTTGTAAATAAATGACACAAGTCATCAGGAACATCACAACTGCTACAATACGCAAAGCTAAACAAATATTATGAAAGGAGGCTAAGGAACAATGTTGAAACAAAGGTATAATGCTGATATAGAGAGTTTTTTTTATTTGGTCGAGCGAGATGAACTATAGTGACACGTGTGATTCCGACACTGGAAAGGTGGCGTGTGACAAACAAGCGCTGGAAGCTTATCGAAGAGAAGTCGTGCGTGACAAGATGAGAGTGAGGCAACGACTAGGGATGAGTCGCGCTCCTCGAGGCGCACAAAACCCCTAACTTCACCAGAGAAAATGTGACAATGGCGGAGGCGAACGTCGGACTAATGTGGCGCGTATGGCGGCGCCTGGATGAGAACTAGCCCTCTCGCTCAAGGAGGCGATGCAGATCACTAGTCGTCGGACTAAAATGTGGCAGCAGATGACAACGGACGATAATAGACAGTGGTCGGCAGCGGGCAACGGCGGACGGTGACGAACGGCGTCGGGAACAGAAGTTGATGGTGACAAACTTCTGTGGACAATTCCTCACTGTGGCAAAACAGTGCTAGATGGACAACAATAAATGGCACCAGACAACGACAAACGACGTCGAACAGCTGCAAACGGCGCTTGGACAGCGGCAAACAGCGTCGGGACAACGGCAAACGACGCTTGGACAACGGCAAACGACACTTGGACAGTGGCAAACAGCGCCTGGACAGCAGCAAACGGTGCTTGACAGTTGCGGACCAAAACTAAGGTTTGGAGACTAGACAGAAATCAGAATGGGACTGCTCATTGAAGTATTTCAGAAAAGATGAAAATTTTAAGAGCGCCGATGGCCAGTGCCGTCACCGGCAGCAACAAACACAGAGTAGGAAGAGACTCAGACAACCTGGTCTGATACCAACTTGAGATTGAAAAGAAATAATTCTAGAGGACTTGATTGATCCTCTCATAATCTTCTATTTATAAGAATAAATTGATACAAAAGTAATTGATAAATAGGGTAACCCTAGACACAATATAATCATGATAAATAGGGTAACCCTAGACACAATATAATCATGATAAATAGGGTAACCCTTGACACAATATAATCATGATAAATAGGGTAACCCTAGACACAATATAATCATGATAAATAGGGTAACCCTTGACACAATATAATGATGATAAAATAGGATAAATATCCTAACAAAAACTAACTTGTAAAGTGAGGAATGCATCACTTATAAATTGGTATTACCTTTAATTGATGTGAGATCTCCTACACATCATCCCTCAAAACTTGGCATGTAATATTGTGTGAGGCTAGATACCTGGGTGGTCTGATAATAGTGACATAATAGGTTCAACAAATCTTGTTAAGATAGCCTTTGATACTATATTAGGAAGTGAATTTAAGCCTAACTCATCCTCATAACACTGGTTGGTAAGGTGAGATTTACATCTACTTATATATTATAAATTGATCATATCTTCGGTTGACATGAGATTTCCAACACAACCTCTCACACCGAAGCATGTAGATCTCGAGTGTGAGACTAGATGCTTGTTGGTGGTTTGATAATGACGTAATAGTGGGTGGCATGATAGGTCGAGCAAACAACAAACCAACCTTGTTAGGATATACTCTAAATGCCTCTTATACTATCATAAGGGTGGATTTATGCTTAACTCAAGTATACAAAATTGACTTATAAAGTGAGGATTGTCTCCACTTATAAATTGTAATTTGGCTTAATCTTTAATTGATGTGAAATTTCTATAAAAAAATATTATATCTAAATGTAATATTCTATTTAAACTCGACCGGATGTGTTTTTTGTTTTTTATCTAATTTATGATTTAATGTTGTTGAAATATTTATTTCATGTTAGCTTTGCAACTTTCTATGTCTTTTTGTGAATGGTTCTCACATGTTCATTTTGTCCCAACATATTATACCTAAATGCAATGTTCTTTTTCAACTCCACTGAATGTGGTGTTTTAATCTTTATTTTTTAGTAGATGAGTTTTATGGAGTGCTTTTGTTATTATTTTGGTCAGTCAATGTAAGCAAATCTCAGTTAGTGGAAGGCTTTTTTGTTGTTGTGTAACTACTCTATGCAAATAACTATTTTATGTCATTTAAATTTGTAGGAAAATCTTTTCTACGAAGTTTCTCCTACTGCAGTGGAAACATACAGAAAAGCTATCGAATCTCATTTCCATCATTTTGAGGTAAATGTATTATCTAAGATTCTCAGCTACTTTGTATATCAGGAAAAAAAACAGAAAATATTTGGTTACCATGCTTTAATTCCTTCCTGGAAGGCAAAGCCAATTCAGGAATATGCTTATTTGTTCAAATATTTATCGAAACAAAATATTTTAATTTAAGTTGTTGAAAAAATAGAATAAACTTTTTCAGAAAACTGGGAGTAGCATTCAAGAGGAAATTGAAACATCTGTGTATAATACCACAGCAGGTACTGTTGAGACTACGTGCATTGTTTGTTTTTTTGTGCTTAGTTGGTTATTCTAAACCTGTCATTATTTTCTTTTATTGATTCAAATAGAGTTTGGATCACAAGAGAATGCATATGATGAGGAAGAAGGAGAAAATAGCACTTATTACTTGCCCAGTGTCTATGAGGGCAACAAATCATCAAAATCGGCACAGAAGAAGCATAAAATTTTGAAGTCTTATACTCCTAGGTGTAGTGATGCTGATGCTAATTTGCCTTATGTACACTATGCAACTGGAACTCAACCATCCATGATGTTTGGAAAAAGACCTGCTAGTTTAAATGTTGGGTCAATACCAACAAAGCGCATGCGTACAGCTACAAGGCATAGAGTTGTAAGCCCTTTCACTAACATTGGGACAGTACAAGCTCAAGCTAAGGCGGATGCTTCAAGTGGTGATACCAATTCCTTTCATGATGACCAGAGTACTTTACATGTCGGACCCCTGATCCAAAAAGGGACTGAGGTGGAGTCAGTTGCAGATTTTGAAAAACAGCTATCTTATGATTCTGCAGAAACATTTGTTAAAACGAAGAAGAAAAAGGCAAAGACTTTGGTAATAATCAATCTGTTATTACATAACTTGAGAGATACTTATTTTTGAACATGTGGCGGAGGTGTGTTTTGATTTATTTCAGAATCTGTATTTCAGCTTCATTTGCTTTATAATGATTCTGCAGGGTTCGATGTATGATCAGGGGTGGCAGTTGGATTATGTTGTCCTAAATGAACAGGTAACCTTTTTCAGTGAAATTGCCTTAGTAGCCTTCATCTTTCAACATTATGAAACAGAATTTGAATTTCTGGATTGTTAATTTTCAATGGGAATCTTTATACTTCGTAGCTTAAACCTAATGCTCTACTATAGCGTGATAGAGGGTTGTTGAACGAGATAAATTGATGGAACAAATGCGGAAAACCGGTATATTATCGAAGCTGGTTGTAAACAAGTGATAATAGTTATAGGATAATTTATTTCTATATAAATTACTGATATGCCAATCAGTTCTAGTTAGATATCCCTATAATATAAAGATTGTTATTAACTAAATAAGGAAACAAATCATAAAATAGAAAAAAATAAATCTTTGGTGATCGTCCATGATACTCTAAACTATTCTAAGTTAATATCAAAAGATATTTTTCATTTTTCTATCACTCCATCCTCAAGTTGAAGCTTACTATGCATTAGCTTGTTACAAGAAAGTTGTAAAATATATGATTGATCTTAGTAATTAGGGAAATATCTACAAACTGTATTATGGATTTTTCCATTATTAGCCTTATTAGGTTTCCTATACATTGAATGATTAAAAAGAAAGGATTTATACGTTTGATTAGCCACAATTCACAATACAATAAAACAATTTAAAAATAAATACTTCCCCTCAAATTTGAAAAAATAAAAAACTTAAAAAATTGAGCTCCACCAAATGGTTGGAAAAGAGACTCCTGGATATGGAGAAACTTGAGAAAAAAATAGCTTATCATAGATAGCTAGATATGATCAACAACACTAAGACAGTTATGGCAAAGCAAAAGCAGGGTCCGGTGCTTCTCTATACCACATTCTAAGCTTAAAACTAATCTTTTTGAAGTCCTAAAAAATTAATCTTGAAACTAAGTTTTATAATGGCTTTTCAGATAGAAACAAGGCCACATATATGGGGTGGAGATGGGGCTAGATTTGCGCTTCTAGGACAACATGGGACTAGGGTATTCAGGGGACATAATTAGGACCTGTTGCACCTAAAACAAGAACATGGTCAGTGAATCTGGGGAAAAGGATGGGCCAGTTCATCTAAGACAAAGCATGGGTCAGTTGCATATGGGACAAATTTGGGGTTGGAGCATCTATGACTAGTTTGGTGGCCTACACATTTTAAAAGGGTGGTTAGCAAAGGTGTATCAACGGAAAAGTTGGCCATAGTGAGACAATTTTTTTGGTTTAGGGAACTAACAACAAGAGTGATAAAACAGGTTCTATAATTTTGGTAGAATCATTTAATATTTTATGCTAATAATACAATTCATATATACAAGGCCATAAAGCTATTTTAGAAGTATAATAATAGCACATAGATACCGAATCCCTATGATTCGGGGATTATCCCCATCATACACTGTAATTATAATATGCTAAATAAGGGAGAAAATAAAACACAAATCCTTAAGCTGGTGAATATGTATTTTCCATTCCTAGCTTGGAAAACAATACCTCAAAAATTGTTGTTGTTTCTCCCTTTGTTAGAATAATATTGGCAAGATTGTCTTGTGAGGAGACATAAGGAGTGCGGATCAAATCATTGTCTAATTTTTCTATGATAAAATGTCGGTCAATCTCAATATGTTTGGTTCTATCATGCTACACTAGATTATGAGCGATGCTAATAGCAGATTTGTTATCACAATAAAGTTTCATCGATTTATCAAATTTTATTCTTAAGTCTTCCAAGATGATCTTCAGCTAGAGTAGTTCACATATTCCTTGTGCAATTTCCCTGAACTCTGCATCAGCACTAGATCATGCTACCACATTTTGTTTTTTACTCTTCCAAGTTACAAGATTCCCTCCAAGGAAAGTGAAATATCCCGTAGTTGACCTTTTATCCACAATTGACCCTACATAGTCTGTATCTGTATATGCTTCCAGACATATATTCCCATTTCGTTCAAACAAAATTCCCCTGCCTGGGCCCCTTTCAAATATTGCACATTTCTTAGTGCAGCTTGGAAATGAACCTCCTTTGGTTGGTGCATGAACTGACTACTAGACTCATAAACGAATGCAACATCAGGTTTTAGTGTGAGATAAAGTATATCAATCTGCCACTAGGCTTTGATACATTTCCTTACAACTGTAGTATCTCCTGCGTTTTACCAATTTTAGGTTTGGATCAATTGGTGTATTTGTAGGCTTGCATGCTGTCTTAGTTGTTTTTTTCAACAAATATTCACTTTTTTAGAATGAGCCACTCAATTCCCAGAAAATACTTCACTTTTCTCCAAAGGTTTTAATTCAAAGTTTTTGGTCAGATGTGGGCCTAATCGTTGTTGCTTCCTCCTTATCACTTGTCACTATAATATCATCCCCTAAACCAATAATACTATCACTCCCCTTGACTTAGAGTGTTTAATTAACCGAGTGTGGTTTCCTTGACTTTGTTTAAAGCCCAAACCTATCATAACTTTAGTAAACCTCCAAAACTTACTCGTGGTGATTGTTTCAACCACAAACTTGGCCTTTTGATTACCATCTTATGAAGTTAGGGTAGAATCGTTTAATATATTATGCCGAGAATAAATTCTTATATACAAGGCTAAGAAGCATTTTAGGAAGTTTAATCACGGCCACCTAGCAACTGAATCCCTTGATTTAGGAATATCCCCATCATACATTGGAATTATAATATGCTAAATAAGGAAACAATAAAACACAAATCCTGAAAGAAATAATACAGCTAATAAAACAAATTCTAACACAGGTTATGGAGGATGTTATTGATATAATACTGTTAGAAGTGGACTTTAAGTCTAACTCAACCCCAAAAACCGGCTTGTAGGGTGAGGTTTGCATCCATTTATAAACTATGAATTGGCCTTATCTTTAGTCGATGTAGGACTTCTAACACACCCCCTCACACCGAGGTATATGCATCTCGAGCATGGGATTAGACATTTTTAATGGGTGGTCCGATAGCAGCCCGATAGCGGATGATACAATATGCCTAGCAAACAACAAATATTGCTAGGATAAGCTCTAACCATGGCTCTGATACCATCTTAGAAGTGGACTTTAAGCCTAACTTAACCCCACAAAACCGGCTTGTAGGGTGAGTTTGCACCCCACTTATAAACTATGAATTGGCCTTTCTCTAGTCGATGTGGAGGGGGGGGACTTCCAACAAATACCATGCTGAAAGCGAAAAATCTATGTAAGCGCCGAGCTTTTCTGCCACCATTGTGTGTATGACCTCTCTACATTACGAGT